TGAGTTCCTGTGTTCTATTTTATATGGTACAGGCAGTCCCCGACTTACACGGATCCAACTTATGTCGGAGCCGCACTTACGAACGGGGCTTTTCTCGCCCCGGAGCTCGCAGGCGGCGGGACTGCCCATGGTGCAGCGGTCCCACCACCGTGTCCTCCGGGGCGAGAAAAGCTGCTCCGGGTCTCCCTGGTGTGCTGGGGGGGAGCCCAATTTTTTTTCCCCCGCAGCTGACTTCCGTTTGCGCAATTGGTCTTTTTTTTTTAATGCAATGGAAGAACAGGGAATGGGAGGACTTAAAATGCAACAATTCTCACAAGCGTCAGCAACGCTAGTGCAGAACCAACGTGTCACGGGGCCACCCTGTATTAGATATGGATTGTGGAAGATGGACAGTAGCACACAATTTCACAAGAATAGAATCTGTAACCATTAAGCAGAGACGTGACTTGTGTTTTCACAGGTAACTTGGGCATTCAAACAGTAAACCCCTAAATCAAATGGTAAGATTCCACAGGTTTGTTTTAATATCCCCCTCAACCTAAAAACCCCACCCTTTATTTCAGGGCTGGGCAAAATCAGGCCCAGGGGTTGGATCCCGCCTGCCAACCATTTCTCTGTTGCCCGCCCAGCTGATTAGCCGAGCATGCCTACTTATAGTCTTCAGCAGAAAGTGTCCTGGCTCCGCCACTTCTGCCTGAGGCCCTGCCCCTTGTGGGGTGGCCCGGGGCCACTTCAGAAATTTCTGAAGTGGCCCCCAGTCAAAAATTATTGCCCACCCCTGTTGTAGCTTCAAATAAGGTATGTGGTTGACTGGTCAGTTTGTAACTCTGCTCATATTTCTAAGGTTCTACTGTACTCCCAAAATGGCTTGGTTTTTCAACAGCTAATCTGTTAAAGGTTCAACCAAGCCAATCCAAATGTGTAAAAACTCTCTTGATTGCTAATCTGGAAGGGCAGTGATTGTAAAAATGGCAACATTCTTTGCTCACTTTCATACATTTCTATGGTGTCACCATCTTTACAAATATTAAGTGGCGGTAGAAATCTTCATTTTCAATTTTTAATTCTATACAAGCGGGAGGTAGCTTGGGACTCAGGATTTTGTTCTTGTCAGCCACATTTTGGCTTTTACTGCATGCGTTCCTTTCTCTTGTTAAGACAGATCAAAGTCCCATACTCGCTATTTAATCTTTCAGCTCCTTTCATTTTATTGATGGCACGGGGGATATTGACATTCTCACAGAGTGTTTTCAGGCTTATTTTAATATCCATTCGGGATGTGGCTGTTGGACCGGTAAGCGTCACCTGTACTGGTGATTGGAGCAGCCCCTCCCTGAGGTGGGGGGTTGCTTCAGTCACCAGGCACTCCAGTGCCTCCCTCCCCCGCCTTAATTGGTTAACTTGTTAAACAATATGTTTAGCCAGTTAACCAAATACGTGGGATTTTACATCCCTAGTATCCATAAAGAGCTTGGAGAGATGGTGTCTGTTTCCTTACGCTGAGGAATAAGCATCTGCATTAGAGTCCTGGCATTGCCACCAGCACGGATGTTGCTTGCCAAGTTACAGGAACCAGATATGCATGGGAAGGATTCTGTGACTCCTGTTTCAGCACACTGCTACATGAACATGAAATATTTAATGTTAGGTACAATGGATTGCTTAAGAGTTCGGTTGCACATTGTATAAGAGAATCAGTCAGCAGCTATCAAGTGCTTATTTATAAATATAAAAAATGTAGTTTAAACTCTTAAATTATGGTTTCTCTCCAGTCTGTCTGAATGGGATAGAATTTGGGCTTTCTATGTAGGCTTTCATACTGTGGATATTTCAAAGCTTTTTACAAAGCAATTATTAGGATACTCAAAACACAATGTATGAAGACAGACTCACAGTCTAAGACATTAAAAGTTGAGATTTGTGGCTTAAAGTAGGGCTAATCCCTCTATCTTGCACAATTATAAATAAATTTAGTCACCACATTTGGAGCAGTTATTAATAGGAAAATGGAATGTTCCATGCAATACTATAAGAAAAATTTTGGGTTGACAAAAGAAACATTAAAATTCTCCTTTTTTTAAAGTGTGCTTGATGGCATTTTGGGGGGCTCCTCTAGCTAAGCAGTAACAGTCCTCACATGCTACAAATTGTAATCTGACTTGTTTTTGAATTGTGCAACATTTGGAATTTTAAATGTAGTAACTTTTGTCATCTTTTGCTTAATTCGGATTTGTGCATTGTATCTCATTTTATCAGAATCACTTTATTTCAGCATCAGGTGACATCGCTGTTCTGTGACTCTAAAGATCTGATCACAGTCTTCCAGCAGAGGTTGAATAGTGAAGACCTGATATTTTTATCTTTAATGGGAAATAAAGCATGAGGGGTTTTGTTTAATTTGTAAATGGCTGGTAAACTTTTTTTGCTTCATGGTTCACGATAAAGGCGAACTGACAATTTAAATCATATGATAACCAAAATTTCAGTACTGTGGATACTAACATTTTTGATAGTGTGAAAGAATTTTAAATGATCTCTTTATTTATATTGTCATCTATTTTGCATTTGTTTGGACAATGAAACCGCTTTCACTTTTGTTTTAATGTGCTTCATTGTAAAAGTGCTGCAGGTTTGGGGTTCCAGACGCCGCGGGGGGAAGTGGCAGTTAGAAAGTCAAAGCTAAATAGTGGGCATTTAAAATAAAAATTATGTTTAATTCACTTTTGAGGTAAATCAATTTTGAGTGTATCGTCCCTTTTACAATTCTGTAAACATAGTTACAAGTTCCAGCCTTAATTCATCATTCTGTAAGTCAAGATTGTCCCTTTTGTTACTTTTATTTTAATCTTTGTTTTAATGGAATGAGAAATAATAGCAAAATTAAATTACTAAATCACAAACATATGCTACTGAAGCATTTGTCTTGCATGATTTAATTTAAAAAGTATGGAGCAGTTTCTTGAAATTAAATCTTTTTTCCCTAATGGCTTGTGTATTGCAAGGGTGATAGCAGTCATTTTTCGTTCCCCTCCAGACTTCTCACTGTACTACCCAATGGCTACAAAATTGAGGGGTAGCTGAACCGACTAGAATCAGAAATGATCAACGTCTATTTTTCTTTCTTGTAACTTGTGCTTTTGTAACACTCTTGAAGGCAGCGAGCCAGCAAAACTGCTCCTATATGGATCTATTTAGCAATCTTGGATCTTGACAAAAGTTTCCAAAGTAAAATGTTGCTATGCCTTTAACTGTGTGAACTGTCACCATAATGCTGTTGCTTTGGAAAGTAAAGCTCCTAAATTAGTGTGCAGTTACCACTTGCCCTAACTAGGATCATTTCATGGTTTGATTTTGCATCACAAATGCCTTTTTCTTGTCTGGATATGCCATTTTATTAAAGATAATACAGGACAAAAGTTTCCAAAGTAAAATGTTGCTATGCCTTTAACTGTGTGAACTGTCACCATAATGCTGTTGCTTTGGAAAGTAAAGCTCCTAAATTAGTGTGCAGTTACCACTTGCCCTAACTAGGATCATTTCATGGTTTGATTTTGCATCACAAATGCCTTTTTCTTGTCTGGATATGCCATTTTATTAAAGATAATACAGACGGTGCCTAAATCCCATGACTTCAAGCATGAATTTGATTCTGGCACTCTAAAAAAAGACCAAAGAACAGTCCAGATTATGCAGTAATTCCTGTATAAAGAGGAGCAATATTAAGGAATGGCAGGAGACCAATGGATTTCCATATCCAACCTTTCTTAGATGTCACTTGCTGAAGGAAGTAACAGTGGGTAGGGAGCAGTTGGGTATTAATACGGGATAATTCACATTCCTCTAACAGTTATTTTACTTGGGATTGTAAATACCCCAATATGTATGTGGTTTTTTTTAAGGGAAGGTTTTTTTCTCCTTTAGGTGCCCTTAGGCAGTAATATAGGTACTGCTGTTTAAATGGTAGAAATCCAATGACTATAAGTGAAGGTCACAGTTGCTCCAGATTCACCTCTTAAGACTCTTGTCCCGTGACCTTTTGGTAGGAATAACGGGGAATGCGGGTGACGTGTTTGTGGTGCTGAATGTATAAACATACAGAGGACTCCCCCTTCTGGCTTGCTCTGGACCTGGTGGCTTTTTTAGCTTAATTGGGAAATTCTTTTGGAGAGGGGGTTGGGGCTGAGAAACAAATGCCTTAAGTTCCTCAATAGTGACCCCTTCTCACGTCCAAGCAGTAGCATTGAAGGCCTTCAAAGATAGTCCTGTCTAGTTTTCAGCTGTGGTTGTAACATGCTGAAGGGGTGTGGTGGAGGACTTGAAAATTTCATCTTCAAAGTGTAGGGCAGGGTGAACCACAGCTACTGGGAGCTGCAGGGGGACCATGCCTGAGAGTGATCAGTATAACCAAAATGTCTCTGGGCTCACCAGTGGATTACCCTGATGAGTCACATGCCAAAGGTTGCCAACCCCGGGATGAGGGGGGTTTATTAAGGAAATATAAGAGTAGTCTACAGTTATTTTTTATCAACGAACCTAATACTGTTTTTTCTGTGGTGTCTGGCAGCCTAAGTTCTCTTGGCACATACCAAACAGTTAAGTCCTAACACCCTAGTGAGGCAGTAATGAGTATGATCTACAAATGGTGAAAGTAGAATCCTGATGCTAGATTTTTTTTCTTCGACTGTTACATACATAACCACCTAATGTATCCTTCCTACTACGATTTCCAAGAGCAGCTCTGGGCTAAATTGAGTTTTTCACAGGAACTTGAAAATAGATTTGAAGAAACATTTCAGCCTCCTTTTGGCTGTAACATTTAGCACAATGGTTCTGACTGGCCAATTTCTTCAGAATTGAAAGCTTATCAAGAGAGGGTTATTAAAATGTGAGATAAATGGATAATGAACACACAAAGGGTCAGGTTGGGCCCCGATATGCAGTCATCAGGCTGAAGAATGATTCGTGTAACTACCTATGAAAATAACTGTCTCTTCCCACAGGCAAAGTACATCTCCCAGTGCATTGATGAGATCAAACAGGAGCTCAAGCAGGATAACATTGCAGTGAAAGCGAATGCTGTTTGCAAACTTACATATGTAAGTGCCTTGCTAGGTTATAATGTTACAGAACCTTTTATTTTACTCTCTTAACTGCCAACGAACTGTGTAAACTGTGCTTTGTTAGCTTTACTTATGTCAAATGACGTAAGCATATTTTCTGAAAGTGGTTAAGAGACACCAACTAAAAATAACCACTCCTTTTTGGAGAATATTTAGTGCGGGTGCTACAGTATTCTTAATGCTACTTGCACCTGAAAGGTTAGAGATTTTCTTAATTGTTTTCATGACCCCTGTACATAGTAGGTTTGCTACTTGTTTCTTTAGTCAATGAATTTCTCTCTTTACATGGGCCTTTAATGAAGCAGCAGGAGAGAGACATTTTAAATATGTGATGTACATAGATTTAATACCTGAAATCACTCTCATTGGAAACTTGCTTAATTAAAAGGGACTTTTACTTGAAGCCTTTCTATTCTGGGGAAGGAGGAGATAAAATTAAATAGACATGTGACTTGAGCTGTTGAGAACATGTATTCTGTATTTTTATTACTGCACATCTTCAGCTTGTAACAGTAGCCCTATTGTTACAAATGTCCCGATTCTGTACTGGGTCTTGTATTTTGAAGTATTGTTCTTTGGCTCTTTTTCTAACAGTTACAGATGCTGGGCTATGACATCAGTTGGGCTGCATTCAATATTATTGAAGTAATGAGCGCATCCAAGTTTACATTCAAAGTAAGTTGCCTTTAAAATTGCGTTTTCTAGCCAACACATCCCTCATCCAAAGTCCTCTTATGCCAGGCCAACAGGACATAAAACATCAGCATTACTTTCTTCAACCAGACAAGCTGAGTGTGTGCTTTTTTGAGACATCTCTAGTCTTGCCTCCTGTTCGGGTTACTTAGCCCTGCTTATCAGTTGGTGTGTTCATTCATTAAATGTTTTGGAATGTTTTTTCATGAGTGTGTGTGTCACACTGGGAAAGGCCACTGTCTGGCCAAGGAGGGCTGGATGAAGCTTTGGGGCCTCTTGCTCAGGAGTCAGGAAAGTAGGCCCCCTCTCCAAAAGAGCACTGCCATTCAAGCCAGAGTGATGCGGAGGGTCTGAACCGAATTGGCCATGTAACTCCTGCTGCTAGGTCACCAGGCATCTTTTCTTCTACAATAAATTCAGTGCTGGGGAATTGGTGCTGAGTTGACAGCCCCAGAGAGCGAAGTTCTCACTCCACCTGACACGTGGGCAGCAGAAGTGCAGTCCAGTTCTCCGAAGGCCCTTAGTAGTTGGCAGAGGAGGGCTTAGGCTCCTTGAGTTGTTGGTTTCAGTACTGAGATGGACAGAGGAGACCATGCCAGTTGGAGGGGTGGCTTTAAAACCCTGGCGGAGTAGCTTAATCAGACTCATTAGATGGGGAAGTTCATCCGCGAAGTTACTGGATAAAGTGCACACAAGCAGTGTGTGAAAGGACTAAGCACATAGAACCAATAGTGCACTGTTGCTGCTGTAACCCCTAGGCAACATATTCTCCCTGTTCAATTGTGCAATGTTCAGATTGTGCTGATGGTGTATTCAGTTAGCCTTTTGCAGATGCTGGGGAAAATAATCATTTGTAAATGACTCACTTTCTGTTTTTCTTAACTGTGCAGAGAATTGGTTACCTAGCTGCCTCTCAGTGCTTTCACGAAGGGACTGATGTAATTATGCTGACTACCAATCAGATTAGAAAGGTAAGGTGTTAGCTTCAGTGGGAAGGGGTGCAGACTTTTGGTCTTTAAAATAAATGCCCTTTTAATCTGTGCCCTAAATACTAGGACAGCTCTTCCATCAGATACCAGCCTGTGTTTAGATTTGTTATAAATGGCTGAACATGGTTCTTGCTTGCTTCAGAGAAAGTCAGCAGAATGGGACTGTGTTCAATCTGTAACCTCAAGAACCAGCGTGTTTCTTTTATTTAACTATGTTCAGGTCTGACGGAGACGTCCTTTATTTTGTAACTATGTTCAGCTCTTTGTTAAGGAGAATCTGCAATATAGGTATTCTCTGAATCTTGTTTAGTACAAGGCTGTTGCATTCTTTTTATGAATGTTTTTGTACTAAAATGGCTTTGTTTAGGCTCTTCTGTGCTCCCTTGACCTAGCAACTAATGTATTGAGAAGAGGGGACCATCACCTGGCCCAAAGCATTAAAACCAAAGTGAACGATAAGAGGTTTCACTTTCATTCCAAAGTCTGATTTCAAATTGTTAGCCTAATCTTTTTCCTCCACCTGCCATGAGGTACTAACATGAAATATAAATTACACAAACTGTGCAAAATTTGAACTATATCTGGGACTCCCAACTAGGTATTGGCCCCACTGAAGTCAGTGACAAAACACCCACTGATTTTTTTGTAGAGTTAGGATTTCAGTCAGGAATAAATAAGTGGAAAAATGTTCATGTTTCTAGATGCACATGCAGCTTCTGAAATATCGTGTGACACTCTCAGCTGTTATGCTCCCAATATTCTATAGCTATATCGATTATTGCATGTATTAAAGTAGTGGCACCATATTGGAGAGGATGAGACTAATGAAGTGGGCAGTTTTCTCAAAATCAAATACAGCAAATCCTCCCAAACCACAATGTCTGAACTAGTATCCATAGAAAGGAAATGGCTCTTCTTTGAAACTGGGCCGTTTTTTTCATTCAAGTATGAGATGGTTGTCTTTTACCCTGAGCTTTCTTTGAATAAATCAGTTTTTAACCCTGTTTTTATTCTTCTAGGATCTGAGTAGCCCTAACCAGTATGATACTGGAGTAGCACTGACTGGTTTGTCCTGTTTTGTTACTCCAGATCTTGCCAGAGACTTGGCAAATGACATCATGACTCTGGTAAGTTGATTTTAAAAAAAGAAGTGAGCAAACCTTTTTTCTATGACTGTCTAGACTGTATGTAGGCTATTAAAAGCATACTGTTTGTTATAAAATGTACAAGTGCTATGTCTGAAAACTGATAATTGGTTATCATCAGTTTTTGTGTCTTGGGAGCTTTACAGCTCCTAACTCATATAATCTGTTTGGCTGTTCCTGTCTCAAAGTTGGCAAACTAACTGTGCACTCAGAGTTCATTTTAGAAACTTGTCCAAGTGCTGTCACAAACTACCAAGAACAAGTAGGCTTGGGAGAGCAGCAGGAAATCAGAGCAAAAGTGCCTGACGTGGGGAGGAAGCAGCTTTGCATGCTCCCATCCCCACTTCTTCTGGCTGGGGTGAAACTCAGCTTAGGGGACTGCAGGCTCTCTCCCTGCCTCTCGCATTGGCTAAGAATCTGGGGCAATACCCGCACATGCTGGGTGGCATGGAGCTACCAGTTCCCCCCCTAAGGGCTGGGCCAAGTAAAGGCCCTGTCCTCCCTCCCAGATCCCACACCTCCACCCCCAGCCCACTCCTGCACCCTCCTCCCACACCCCATTCCTGTTCCTGCAGTCCTTCCTGCACACTGACTCCCTCATTTTTGGCCCTACTCCACAGCTGGGGAGGGGAGAATACAAAATGTACTAGCCCCTGTCCCCAAGAAAAAAGAATCTGGGCCTGGCCGGGGGCTGGGGAGGAGGGGAGATTTGAGGGGACCCCTACAGGGGGCTGGAGTACAATGGGAAATCTGGTGCTCCGAATTGATGGGTGAGGCGAATGTCTATTTTTTCCCCCTCTGCTTCTCGGGGGCCACATCAGTGAGGATCTTTTTTCTTTGTCTGGAAATGGATGACGGGAGGGATCATGTGAGGATTATCTGTTGTGATCCCTCCCTCTGGGGCATCTGGCATTGGCCACTTTTGGAAGACAGGATACTAGGCTAGATAGACCCTTTGGTCTTACCTAGTATGGCCATTCTTATGACCCCCAATTAATTTTTATTTGGGTGAGTGGTCCCCATCTCAAAAAAGGTTCCCCACTCTGGACTAGATGATTGCGATGGTCTCTTCTGACCTTAAAGCCCGAGTACAGGCAGTCCCCGACTTACGAACGGGTTACGTTCCGAACACCTGGTCGTAACTCGATTTGGTCGTAAGTTGGAAATACCCTTAAATGTGCTGCCCGTGCTGTTAGAAAAACTTGACATACATGGTTCTCAACTCAAAAATATTATAATGGGGTTAATTGGAGGTTGGTCGTAAGTACAGATGGTCACAAGTCGGTGTGTTCATAAGTTGTGGAGTGGCTGTATATTACAGGTGATGTTTCCGGTATAAAATCTGTTCTCTTTCCACTTTTATGATGCGTACCCCTTTCTGATGTTAGTCCCACTGTACGCATCTGGTCAGCGCCCAGACCCTTCAGACAGGGTTTGATAATGGAGAGAAGTATTAATACGTCGGTATGATGGCTAGTCTAAAGGTGAAGGCCCTATTTAATAGTGAGCAGGGCAGTTTGAGACGCTGTTTCTTTGCCTCATGCTCTTCCTGTATTAGCCTGATTGCCTCATATCACATCCGCCCATGTTGGCAGTACAGGTGGTCCCCGAGTTACGAACATGTCGACTTACGACTGTTTGTACTTACAACCAACCTCCCATTAAGTGCATTCCAGCCGGTCCCCGAGTTATGAATGTGCGATCCGTGCTTATGAACAGCGCGGTCACATTTAAATGAATAGAGTCCAACTTACAAACAGATCGAGTTACGACCAGGTGCTTGGTACGTATCTCGTTCGCAAGCTGGGGACTGTGTACTTGAGACTGGAAGTTTCTGTCTTGAAGATGGCTGTTGGAGGCTACCTGGTAGCTTGACCGATAGGAGTGGTTGAATGCAGTGACTCTAAGAACAGGTGATAGGCAGCCCCTCGGGAGCAGGCTCTATAAGACACATCCAGAGCAGAAGCCTTGTGGTTGATCCTTGAACTCTGGTCTCTTGTAAATTTTGCATCCCTGGCCAGACCACAAGGAATGCTTTGACTATTTGTTTTCACTTGCACGGCTAATGTTTTGCTTTTTATCTTACACTGGTGAGTGCACTAAAAACAGCTGCATGGAAAGGCTGCCCCACAGAATCCATGTTTATAGGTGTTGCGGTGGAGGCATTGACTAAAAGTGGTATCTTGAAAGAGACCTCTTGGGAATGTGAGCATGCGAAGAGTCTGACTCCAGTTGTTTCACTAACAGATGTCTCACACAAAGCCTTATATCAGGAAGAAGGCAGTGTTAATCATGTACAAAGTGTTTTTGAAGTACCCCGAGTCCCTCCGTCCTGCGTTCCCTCGCCTTAAAGAGAAACTGGAAGATCCAGATCCTGGTTAGTGAATTTTAATAAACTACTTCTATTGCAGAACGGGACCTCAGTGAAGACATGAATTTTTAGTGGTGGTTGATTCATGGGAGGCAAAGGAAGGTAACTGGTTACATGTTCTTAAGTTATTACTGTATCTATTGGCAGGCAGCTGAATGCTTCAGGGGATGTGAGCAGATTAACAACACGTTTTTGGTTTGAAAAAGCCATTACTTGTTACTAGGCTGGATGAATGGATTAAGTCATAATTACATCAAACCACTCGTGCATTTCACTTAGCGTGGCTACTTGAAAATACAGTAGTCAACTTCAGTTTTTTGCTTCTCATACCTTCTCAGAAAGCTGCAGTGATAGGTTTGTAATAACTGGATGTGAGCAAAACATTTTAAATATTTCACTTAATGTAGCAGGAATCTCTTCCATGTTTTTTTAAAAAGTGATTTTTGGGGCCTAAACAGCCTCTTGAATCTGCTTGTATTGCAGCACTTTCATGTTAGTACTACACGACAGAAGGTAAAATACCGAGACTAAATTCTTGGGGAATGCATCACTAGGAAGCTGCAACAGAGAATTCTTACAGTTGCTGGACATAAATACTCCCATTTCTATAGCCAGATAGTCTTCCCAGGATTTATTTAGGGTGCTGTCAATTCATTTTGAGAATTCCACCTGGGATTCAGGCCTATGACTGTCAGTTGACTTGTGTTTAAAATGCAAGAAGGTAATTTAAAAAAAATTAGATTAACTGGACTGATCTGGTTGGGTAAGACAAGACCTGCCTTCCAGCGATAGATGCTAGCAAGAATTACTCTGTCAGAAGATTACCTGCAAAAGGGTGAGGGGGGGAGTTGTGCTTGTGCTTTTTTGGGGGTTCTATGATGCATTACCCATGAAAAGCTCTTCAAAACATTGCTTGCCTGTGTTTCCCATTAAGAAATCAGGTTCTGTCTAAACGGTGAAGGCTGTAATCAAGAGCCAAGCCCGTGGGAGTTGGAACAAACATAAAGATTTTTAGTCACTGTTTACATTTCTGTGTCACATATAACATCTATTTAACTTAAATGCCTAATGCACACTTCTTGAACTTCCCCACCCTTGAACAAATCCTCTAACAGAAATGGGGAAGCCCAGAGCTAACATTACCGGTACCTCCTAAAGCAGAAAACAGAGGAGGAAGAAAAACTTTCAGGCTCTTTTATATCATACAGCAACCAAAAAAGGCACAAGTCCAGTTTCTTAATCATTTGGAGGTCCTGTTTAAAATACTGGAATATAATTTCTTCCATAGAATAATTTTGGATTTGAGGATGATAAATAATTCCAGCCCTGTTCTGCTCTGATCTTTAGCTGCTCTCGTTCAGTTTGTTCTGAGTGACAATCAAGCTACAGTGGAATTGTTCACTGGATCCTCTTTTCTTCCACTTCTGTTTCTCAGGTGTCCAGTCTGCGGCAGTAAATGTTATTTGTGAGCTGGCCAGACGCAATCCCAAGAACTACCTGTCTCTTGCTCCACTCTTTTTTAAGTTGATGACGTCTTCAACCAATAATTGGGTCCTCATTAAAATTATAAAGTTGGCAAGTATTCCAGTTCTTCTGTGTTAGCACTTTTGCAGGGGCTAGCATGCTCATTAACAGCACCTTGGGTGCGAAAATAAAGCTATCACTTAGAGGCATTATTGTTAGTAAATCCAAATGACAAGGAAGAGAAACAGACATCTGTTAGAATGGGTGGGAATGTAACCAACAGGAGACAAAACATTTTTAAATGTTGTTGTGTTGTGACACAGAAATGGTGATAGTACTGTTTTACCCTACCGAAAGCTAGCTATTAAAAGAATTTCCTTTCCTCCCTTTCTTTCCAAATAGTTTGGTGCTCTTACTCCATTAGAACCTAGGCTGGGAAAGAAATTGATTGAGCCGCTCACTAATCTCATACATAGGTAAGTCTGAAAAAGTTCTTGTTTCATCTCCTTAATTCTTCAGCATTGTTTGTGTTAGCGTGACTGGAGTCGGCTTTGGGTTGTTGCATCTGGAAATTTTGGCTCTGGACATCAAAAGTTAAATTGTCGTTGGAGCAGCCCTAGTATAAAATAGCCTTTGTAAAGCTCTGTGAATATGTCCTCCGTCTTTTTGAATAAGACCATTCTCTGACTACTAGTGACCTGCCTCACTGTAAAGTCACTGAGGCTCAGGATCACCTAAAGGGGATTCAAAGGGGATAACTGAAAAACTGAGGGTTTTTTTTTCTGGAGAAAAGAAGACTGAGGGGGCATGATTAGTCGTCAAGTACATAAAAGGTTTGGATAAAGAGGAGGGTGAATAAACTGTCGTCCATATTCACTTGAGGGCAGGACAAGAGCTAATGATCTTCAAATGCAGCATGGGAGATTTTAAATTAGACGTTGGGAATACTTTGTAACTGAAAGGGAAGTTAAGGTTTGGAACCGATTGCCTAGAGATGTTGTGGCATCTTCATCACTAGAGTTTTTTAAGAAATCTGTCATAGATGGTCTAAATAATACTTAGTCCGGCTTTGGCTCCAGAGACTGGACTAGATGACCTTCAGGTCCCTTCCAGTCCTGCATTTCTGTGATTCGGAATCCTGGTTTTAGGAGAAAAAGGGGGATCTCTTCCGTTAAGATTCCCAGTAGTTGTGGTGGGATTGCGTGTTTATGCTGAGGAGACTGGCGAGGTGAGCGGCAAGTGAGCCAATTCTTCATCAAACATATGGATGATCTGTTGTATAATAGTGGAGGGGGCAGTGCCTGAACAAACCACTTTTTGTCCATCCATGTAACATTTGTTGAGATTATTCCTTGGGGAAGCTTAATTTTGAATTTAACAAGACCGTTAACTGCTAAAGGGTTATGGATTATGAACAATGTCACTGAAAGGTCACAGTGTAGCTGGTCCCAGGGACTGGTCAGATGCTTTGGAACATTGTTCACAGATCTAGATTGTACCCTAATGGGGCTGGAAGGTGCACCCTGCACCTGTTAGGTCTATAACGGACGCAGAGTCCCAGAAAGATTCTCCCCCCTCAGGAGGGTGCAGGAGGGAAGTCCGGTCACATTACTGCCCCTCAGCTCCCTCAGGCATTCTACAAAATTAGCTTTCGTTTTCTGAGAGCTCCATAGAAGGCCACTGGCCGCAGAGATGGGTTGAAATGGTCCATTGCTTGGCCTGTTTTGCCTGCTCTTTCAATTGTGCCAATTTAAATTGTGGCTTCTGTTAGGTTGCCCTTCCGAGACCACCCAGAGAGGAGGTTGCAGTTGCTTTGTGCTGTCAGTGTCTTCCTCAAATAGACTTTGTCACCGAGGGGTTTGGTGTCAGTCCATGTGCACCATGGTCCTATTTACTTGTCCAAATTTCATAGGTGATGTGGAACGCGTTTACATGAAATTCCTCTTGCAGCCATTTACTATGGATACCCCCTGCTCCAGAAGTTTCGATTGTGCCCTTGTGTAAACAGACGTGGGCATTCACACAAAGTGAAATGGAGTGAATTGTCAGTTAACGCAAGTTAAGTTTCAAGACCAGTCAGACCCAAAATGTTGAAATTCAAATATTTCTCTCGGTAGCTACTTTACCCGCAAACATTGCCTTGCGGGTGGTTAGTACGACCTCCGTTTCCACTGTTCGTGCTGCTAGAAGAGAAGCTCATTTGTTACTAAGTGAAGGCTAAGCAACGACAAGTGTCTGCTGTAACGCATCTCTCTCTCGAACAGCCAGCGGGTTTGCATCCAAATACCCAAAGAGCGTTCAGGTCATTGCTGCACTGGCAAAAATACAAATTTAGTACTACTTCACGAAAAGCAGCAAGATGGACAGTATGTATTTCTCCCCCCCCCCCCCTTTCCTCCTCCTCCTCTTGTTCCTGAAATAGTTATTCATTTAATTATATTTGTGAGGACTTTAACCTGAAGTCTAGTTGGTTGTCATCACATTAGTTGTCATGTTCCTGGTTCAGAACCATCTAATGCATAGCCAAGAAATGGCCCACCTCCTAACAACAGCATAGACGATCAGATGTACATAATGGCCAGATGGGGTCAGACCAAAGCTCCATCTAGCCCAGAGTCCTGTCTTGCAACAATGGCCAATACCAGGTTTCCTAGAGGGAATGAATAGAGCAGGCAGTCATCAATCAAATCATCCATCCCGTCACCCATTCCCAGCTTCTGACAAACAGTCTCAGGACACCATCCCTTCCCATCCTGGCTAATAGTCCTTGATGGACCTAGCCTCCATGAATGTACCTAGCTGTTATAGTCTTGGGCCAGGTCTCCACTTACCCAGAGATTGATTTTTCTGGGGTTCGATTTAGCGGCTCTAGTCAGATGGTGCCCCCATTGATCCCCGTATTCCACAGGGTCACAAGGAGTAAGGAAAGTTTCTCCTGTCTACCTCCCACAGTAGGGACGACACAGAAATTCAATCTAAGAAATGTCCACTCCAGCTACACCATTCTTATAACTGGAGTTGCATATCTTAAGTTGACTTTCTTGCATAGTGTAGGCCTGGCATTGGACTTCACAGCATCCTCTGGCAAGGAGTTCCACAGATTGTGCGTTGCATGAAGACATACCGCCTTTTGTTTGTTTAAAACCTGCTGCCTATTCATTTCATTGGTGACCCCTAGCTCTTGTGTTGGAATTCTTACCCTGGACCTGGGTGTACTGGATTTGTAGCGCCTGTCATCTGTGTAGCATTGTTTGCACCTGCTACATCAGGCATTACTGGTAGTTGATGACCTCCCTGGACCATGCCTTGGGTTCTGTTCCTACCACTGTCATAGCACTGACTCCGCACGTCACTTTATGGATGGGCCTGAGTTTTGGCCATGTGTACACAAGGTCACCAGCTGTGTAAAGTGCCTTTGAGTCCCTCTGCTGGAGAGAGCATACTATACACATGTTAGTGAGAGCCAGCAGAAGTTTTAGGTGGGAACCCAAGTAGAGACATTTCAGGAAAATGCCTCTTAGAAACTGATTTTTCTCTAGTCGAGGTGAGTAATGGGCCCGGTCTGGTAAAGTTCTGAAAGGATCAGTTGCTTGAGCAGCATTCAGTGTTCCCGGAGGAGAGAAATTTCCAGGCTTTCTATCTGGCCTGTGTTTCCCATTTATTTGTGGTCT